GCGGGGGGAAAAGAATGGACACATATGTAATACCCTTTGTAATAAAAAAAATGTAAAAAAAATAAATAAATAAAATAAAAAAAAGTTAATCCCTTTATATTTTTAAAATATTGATTTAACTACAATGGACAGCTTAATGTCAAATATAAAAAAGAGGAGAAAAGAAATTTCTGTTTATTGTGGGACAGTTACATGTCAAGCATGGTGCTGAATGTTTTAAGACACTGCAAACAACCTAATTATGCTAAATATTTCATTGGAGGTGTTTAACATTAATATTCACTTCTGAATATTAGTAGTGTGAATATTAATACTTGATTTATCTGAGATACAAAAACATAAAATTAAACAGCCTGAGATTTGGTTGCAGCCAGCATATTGGTCCATAGGAAAAACATGAGTGACTGATGAGCCGTTCCTCTCTGCTAAGTCATTACGTTCATCCACATGTGCTCTGGTGTTGAAATACTTTGTGCAAACACCACTTCCCCTCTCCAGATCCCCAAAGTGTCGCTACTAGGCTACTGCCCAGAAATAAGCACACTGCCATTTGATCAACTTTGGCTCCTTTTTATTCAGGAAGCACACACATTCTTTTTATATACTTTCTTTTTACATTCCAGAAATAAGCGAAAAATAGCTGTTTTAAATATGTTACAAAGTTGGCTTTTGAGCTTAATAAGCTTTTTGAGAGAGTGACCAGCCAACAGACCTTTTCATCAAAGCACCAATGTATCTTCAGTCTTTTACCAAGTTCTACTACAGCTCTGGCCGCCCTGGATGCGCTGTACATCCAAACTGCGTGAAAGCTACAATGGAGAGTTGCTGTGAGTCTCTGCAAGGCACCAAGAACAAACAGTTCCAGCTTCCTTTCTTCAGGTTAAACCAAAGTCTCTGAAAGTTTTCAAGTGCTCTCTCAAGTAGTGCTCGTTCAGCATGAAGACTAGAATTTGTTAAAACTGATATATCACAAGGTACAATACACACTTCCAATATGCTGAAAACCACATGGTAGAAGTTATAAATAAGCGAACACTAAATTCATTTTAAGAAAGTTTTACATCATTTAGTCAATAAGGACATTTACACGTACAGCACAAGTTACTGTTAAACATTCTATAACTGGATTCACACAAAGATGAAAATAGATAATACAAAATGATCTGACATTTTAAGTCTGGAATTAAGTTTTATTGTAGTTAATATCAACTTCACATATTGTTGCGGGTTGCTGTGCTATGCCCTTCAAGATGGGAATTTCTTTCTCAGGGTGAAATTTCATTTGGATATGCGCTCTTGCTTTGTACAAACTACTAAAATCTGTGGGACACAGCAATATCAAAGACACAAACGGTAACTGCACAAAAGCATCTGCTGGATTAAGCTAATACAAGTGGACATACTTTTTCAGGTTCCAATATCTAATAAAGCTCTATATGAAATGAACAAGGTGAAACATCTTAAGAATGAATATACTCTGCAACTGGAACATGTAGCATTTCTTTAATTCACAGATATGCCTCATTAGGCATTTACAAAATAAATTAGTAAGATCTCAATTTGCTTGAGGCATCACAAGCTCATAATGCCCCACTTGGCCTTCCTGTTTGAGCTGATCTAGTAGGTCTTCCTTCCGTCTTTTTCTACCTACCACCAGGTACCTGTCATGGCCTACCCCATGAGACTTACTTTTAAGACCATACTTCTGGGCGATTTGATGTATTTGCTTCCGCTCGTCGTTAGTCAGCTCTGTAGAGAAAGTCAAATCGCTGTGGCTCTCGGAGCGGGCGTAGTTTCTGATGATCTGTTCAATATCTCTCTTGGCTATTTTATTTACCCTTTCTACATCAAGACCAAGCCCTTCCCGCTTATGCTGCTCTTTGACAGAGATTGGCTCCCGAATGCCCTCACCAGATTTACCTAAACCACCACCCGTCCAACCCATCTTTCTCAGCAGCTGATTCCCTATGTTATCTTCTTTGATTTGTTGCTTGTAAGCCTCCTCTGCTGAGCGGCCCTGAATTTCATTTCTTGAAATCACATCTTCAATAGCTCCTTTCTTCAAGTTGTTAATGACAGTCGGCTGGGTCTTCTTGAGGATTTTCACAGCTTCCCCAGCAGCTTCGTATTTGACAGTTTTCTTCACCCCAACTGCTTCTGCAATGACTTCACTCTCCAGAATCACCTTGCATTTCCATCGGAGGCCTGTCATTCTTTCATAGACGTATTCAACTGTCATTCGGTTAAACTGAGCTGTGTCGTTCATCGTGCACACAGGATTTGAAGAATTCTCATAAACTACAAGATCCTTTATATCTTTCTTCTTGCCAGATCCCTTGGGTGAAGAGCCTGCTTGGCATTGTGAACTTTTGACAGATGGGTAAGTGGGTTGTGTTTTTTGAAGGATTTTCAAAGCCTCATCAGCAGCTGCATGTTTACTTGTTTTTTTGGTTCCATAACCTTCAGCTAAGCAATGATCTTGCAAAAACACTCGACAACGCCATGTGCGGTTTGGCATCATCTCATATTTGTATTCAACTGACATTTTGTTGAATGAGGCGGAATTGTTAAGGATACCAATAGCATCGTTTGCATTTTCTGTAAGGACAAAATTGGTCCAGTGTTTGGCAGAAGCATTATAAATTGGCTGCCCAGAGGCATCCTTAGCCAACACCACCAGCTCTTCTGGCGGCTTCAGAGCTGGAGGAAAGTCATACGAAGGCATGCCAATCTGACACACCACAAGGTCCTCTCCAAATGTGTGTTTGAATTTCCGCCGGATAACCCTAACTTCAATACGCTTCTGCAAGAGTTTTACAGCTAGCTCAGTAGCTCGATCCCTGGACCCATTCTTGCTGCCAGCATACCCTGTAGTTAAGTAGATATTTTGGCATCTAACTTCACAAGCATAACCATCTGTCAGAAGTTTTTTATTTTTAGGGATGTCAGCAGGGGGGATTTCTTTTAAAGGAACATATATATACTCAGGATTTGTCTTACATGCCTGAATACAACGAGTTAACATGTATGTATAATTAATTTTATCAGATCCGGAAGTCATCTCTGGATTAGAAAGGTTGCTCCAGATGGTCGCTGTTAATTTTTCAATAAAATACTGCTTCTCGGCTACCACTGACTCAGGAAATGTCTGTGATAGTGAAGGCTCAGGAGCTGACTGCAAGTTTGCCTGCTGTGCTGTGCTGCTTGGGGCAGGGTTCCCACGGTCAAAATACATGTTGGTTGAGAATTCCCATCTTGTGCACTGAAAGAGTCTTGAGTATAATCTTGGTAGATGTTTCTTGGCATTCTGGCAAAATGTGTTTGTTCATTTACCTCTTTTGTTTGAGAGCCATAAGGATCTTCCTGTCTTTCAAAATCTTTTGAACTACTAGCTACAAAATGTACAGGCTCAAAACGAGGTCTCACATGGAATTTGGAACCGGCTTGCTTTTTAGGAGGATTTTGACCTATAGAATGAGTGAAATTTACAATTCATTAAAGAGGGAATATTTCAAAAGAACCAAGCAGGAAAACAGTACCAACTGTATTATTTGCAAGCTGCATTGCTGGTACAAGATACTTTCTATCACAAAAACTTCAGATCACTGAGGTGACGGCAGTCAAATAGCAATGTAAGGTTCCAGCATAAGTGGGGATGATTCCTGTCCTTTTGTAAGGGAAGGAACTTGATAGAAAATATGCCATTGAATCAAGTATGCAGGTCACCGCCATGCACGATGGTAGTTGCCTTTGCATCTAATAAGTTAAAGCACAGGAGATGTGTACAGACTAAGAAGTTGTTCCAGTATTAATCTCATACCACCTGTGCTGAAAAGCTCCCTTCATAAGGACTGCAAATGGAACAGATGGCTCTGCTGCAACACAGATGATGACCAGAGGCATTTACAAAGCTTCTCTCTTTTGTGTCAGAGGTGAGTGACTCTGTGATGGCGCTTTACATGTAGTTGTGACTAAAACTCAAATAAAAATAATTCTCAAAAGATCCAAAGGGTTTTCAACTTCAAAATCTTAGTTCTGACCTGTTATGCACCAAAGAGTGTTTGCTACGTTTTATTTCTAGAACAAGCAACAGCTGGAAACTAATGTTTTATGAGGTATATCAAATTTAAAGCTATGGAAGAACTCTGATGAAGCTATACCAGACACTAGAGCTTCCTCCCTACAACAGTATTCAGTAGAAAGCTGGTCCATCTTGGACCCATCCAAGAGGATTTAGTTACTTAGATGCTCAAATGATCAGAGTATAAGGTTTTTCTATTTAGAGGGAGGTTCATGGCATGCACTTTAAGGATAGCATTATAGTGTGACTTCAGTATTCTTAGTCTTCAGTTCTATTTAGCATGCTCAAAACAAAACCAAAACCCCAATTGTGCATAAGCAGAAGTTAAAATTTTTTTTACATTTGTGTAAGATCCAATGTCATGAATGTTATACCACTCATATTGTTTAAAAAAAAAAAGGCCATGTCGTTTCTTCAAATCCCATTTTACAGAAACAAGTATACTCACCATCATATGTTGAGAGGTGACGTTTATGACCCTTAGAAGGTTTGGACAGCATCAGATCATATGAAGGCATCTCCCCAATATCAATACCTTCAGCCATTTGGAGAATTTTTTCCATCAAGCGTGGGCTATACCTATTTAAATTAATATAATCTACCATTAAAACAGATAAGAATGTAGTTTTTTAAAAAGCTTCTAAATGAGCCAATTTTATAATTGTTCCCATGGGACATTGTTAACAGAATATCTTGGCTATAAAACTGAAGAATCTGACCTAAAATACTTACCTATCAAATGAGTAATTAAGGTACTGTCATTTCAAGCCATATAAGCATATAATCAAGAAATTTAAGCCAATATCATCAATGAATTCACAAACAAGTGCTGGCAAGGTTGTGGAGAAAAGGGAACCCTCTTGCACTGTTGGTGGGGATGCAAATTGGTGCAGCCCCTGTGGGAAACAGTATGGAGGGTCCTCAAAAAACTAAAAATGTGCCTGGCTGGTGTGGCTTAGTGGTTGAGCGTCTACCTATGAACCTGGAGGTCATGATTCAATTCCTCGTCAGGGCACTTGCGGGCTTGATCCCCAGTGGGGGGCATGCAGGAGGCATCCGAAAGATGATTCTCTCTCATCATTGATGTTTCTATTTCTCTCTCCCTCTCCCTTCCTCTCTGAAATCAATAAAAATATATTAAAAACAAACAAACAAAAACAAAAACCTAAATATGTAACTGCCTTATGATGCAGCAATTCCACTTCTGGGACTATACCCAAAGAAATCTAAAACACTAATTCAAAAGAATATATGCACCCTTATGTTCATTGTAGCGTTATTTACAATAGCCAAGATATGGAAACAACCTAAGTGCCCATCAATAGAAGAATGGATAAAAAAAGTGGTGGTAAATATATATATAGGATGTCCTCAAAAATGTATACGCACACTTTGAATAATTATTAAGGCAGTGTTTATTAAAATACATTTCATTTTCAAAATTGAGCTATGAGCTGTTAAAGTATGTATACATATTTTGGGACACCCTGTATATACAATGAATATCACTCATCCATAAAAAGAATTAAAAGTTTACCATTTGTGATAGGATGGATGGACCTAGAGGGTATTATGCTAAGTGAAGTAAGTCAGACAGAGAAAGACAAATACCGTAAGATTTCACTTATATGTGGAGTATAAAAAACAAGATAAATGAACAAACAAAATTGAAACAGACTCACAGACACACTGAGTGGACTGTTGGTTGCCAAAAGGGAAGGGCGATTGGGAACTGGGTGAAGGAGGATGAAGGGATTGAGAAGTACAAATTGTAGTTAGAAAATAGTCATGGGAATGTAAAGTACAGCATAGAAAATGCAATAACTATGTATGGTGCCAGGTGAGTACTTGAAATATTTGGGGGAACACTTTATAAAGTACATGACTGTTTAACCACTATGCTATACACCTAAAACTAATACAAAATAATACTGAATGTGCCCGGCCAGCATGACTCAGTGCTTGAGCGTCAACCTATGACCCAGAAGGTCAAGGTTCAATTCCAAGTCACAGCACATGACTGGGTTGTAGGCTCCGCCCCCAGGGTGGGGCGTGCAGGAGGCAGCCAATCAATGACTCTCTCTCATCATTGATCTCTCCCCCCTGTCCTCTCTGAAATAAAAAAAAATAAAAATAAAAATACTGAGTATAAACTATAATTGAAAAATAAAAATTTAAGTTCTTTTAAAAAAAGAAATGTAAGCCCGGCTGGTGTGGTTCAGTGGTTGAGCACTGACCTATGAACCAGGAGGTCATGGTTCGATTCCCAGTCAGGACACATGCCCGGGTTGCGGGCTCAATCCCCGGTGTGGGATATGCAGGAAGCAATTGATCAGTGATTCTTTCTTATTATTGATGTTTCTATCTCTCCCTCCCTCTCTGAAATCAATAAAAGAAAAAAAGTGTAAGCCAATACCTTATCTTTAAGTTTGAATTGAAAATATCCATATAAATTCATGATTTATTTTTCCTCTATCATATATGTATATTATATGCAAATAATTATATTGATATATTTATTAAAGTACTAAGAGTGTTAAGAGCTGCTGGGTTGTTAACATCCAGATTGTGATCTCTATCATTTCCATGAAAAAGAATCAGAGTCCTTAGAGAAATGGCTGATTCCAAGTCTGGGGCAAGAAATGTATAAGATGAACCTGGCAGATATTCTTGTGCCTGAAAACAGGGAAGCTGTCAAAGACTTCAGGAATTAGATCAAGTGGACTCAGAAGCCAACTTGAATAGCCTCCCACTGGCAAAATAAGCCAACTTGAGTATCAATAAGAACAATAATAGCAGTGGATTGAGACACATCAAATATGTTAAAAATCCATTAGCTCAAAAAGATACTTACAAACTCATTATTGGTCATCTTTGGAGGATGGTAGAAAATCAAGTCATTATTCCAAAAGTGGGTAATATTAAGGAAGAAACCAAGTATTTATTTGGCATTTTCAATATAAATTATACCTCAGAGCAACTAAAGAGTTGATGAAGAAAATCTCTTTTACAGAAGCAGCCCAGCTATTAAGTGTAGGAATGAAAGAATACTACCATTTTGCAACCCATAATGCAATAATAAATGATCATCAATGGCTGCTAAGCCTATTAGATGAAAAGTTGATGGGGAAAAACCCAGAAATAGACCTGCACAAACATGCTCAACTGATTGTTAACAACATTGCAAAAGCAGTTCAAGAGAGGAAGGACAGCCTTTTCAACATATGGTACTGGAGCAAGTGGGCATCCACAGGCAACAAACAAAACCTCAACCTACACTTCAAACTTTATACAAAGATTAATTCAAAGTGCATCACAGACCTCAATGTAAATGTAAACCTATAAAAGTTGTACAAAAAAAACACAGGAGAAAATCTTCAGGATCTGGGCCAGGCAAACAGTTCTCATACTTGACACCAAAATCATGATCCATAAAAGGAATAGCTGACAAAATGCACTTCATCAAAATTAAAAACTTTTGCTCTCAAAAGACCTTGTTAAGAGGATGAAAAGCTACAAACTGGGAGAAATATTTGCAAGCCACACACTTGACAAAAAAACTAGTATCTAGCCCTAGCCGGCTTGGCTCAGTGGATAGAGCATCAGCCTTCAGACTGAAAGGTCCCGGGTTCAATTCTGGCCAAGGGCCCATGCCTGGGTTGCAGGCTTCATCCCCAGTGGGGGGCGTGCAGGAGGCAGCTGATCAATGATTCTCTCTCATCATGGATGTTTCTTTCTCTCTCTCCTCCCTTCTTCTCTGAAATCAATAAATATATTTCAAAACAAAACAAAAAAACTAGTATCTAATAGAAATGCCTCTCAAAACGCAACAGTAAAAAAATCATATTTAAAAACAAACAAAAGATATGAACAGAACATTTTACCAAACAGGAAATATAGATTGCATATAAGCACATTGAAAACATCATTAACCACCAGAGAAATGCAATTTAAAACCACAACGAGATATGACTACACACGTCACAATGGCTAAAATAAAAAATAGCGGCAACACCCAATGCTGGCAAGGATGCAGAGAACCTGGATCACTTACACATCGCTGGTGGGAATGTACAACAGTCTGGCCACTCTGGAAAATCTCCAGCAGATCTTTAGGGTTTTCAAAGGTAGCTTATTATGTACCAAGCTTTTGGAAATCAGGATGCTATTCAACTGTCCCACCGTGCCTAGCACATAAAAGATGATTTCTAATAGACAAAAATCATCTGAGTTCATGAACTTACATTCTTGAACAAAAACAGGTACATGCAGGTGCATATTTATGACATATAATGGCACCTGAAATTTAATAAATATTCAGTAATAGATGTTTAAAAAAATTTTTTTAATATATTAAACCGGGTCTACTAAATCCAAGTAAGAAAGCTTAAGTTTGAAAACTCAGCAAAAATTAAGATGGCTAAAAAATCAATAAAATATATTAAAAAAAAGATGGCCAATTATAAAATTACTAAAGGCCCGGTGCACAAAATTCATGCATGGGGGAGGGGGGGGGAGGTCCCTCAACCCTGCCTGTGCCCTCACAGTCTGGGAGCCCTCAGGGGATGTCCAATTGATGGCTTAGGCCTGCTCCCCCTGGCTTGTGGCTTTGTGGTGCTCCCCCTGTAGGAACACACTGACCACCAGAGGGCAGCTCCTGCATTGAGCGTCTGCCCCCTGGTGGTCAGTGCACATCATAGTGACCAGTCTTTCCACCATTCAGTCAATTTGCATATGAGCCTTTTATTATATAGGATTTATTCAAAACCATTCATAAGACTCCTAACATATGTGAATAACAAACAACCAGATTATTGATAAATCTTTTGAACACTCACACTTCCACTTCATTAGTGGTGACTGATGCCCTCTACCTACTGTGGGCAAAATTAGTTTTACAGCATGAGCCCATTGGCATCTGCAACAGCCTCACATCAACAAGGAAAAGAAGAGACAAATAATCAAGGTGGAAAAGCTGGTTGCATTTTAAGATATATCTTCCTGATTAATTAATATCACATCAAAGATCAATAGGCCAGAATTCTGATTCTAACCCTGTCGATGAAGAATGATTGGAAAACAATGCTCCAGTTAACCAAACATTCTGCTTCATTAAATACATATACATTTATCCACAATTTAAGTACATATCATGCAGATCCCTAGGCATTCATATGAATAATTATTTAAGTGCTACAGATGTAACTTTTCATTAGCCACAAGATTTTTTTTTTTTTGTCAATCCTCACCTGAGGATATTTTTCCATTGATTTTTAGGAGGAGTGGAAGAGAGGAAAGACAGAGAGAAACATCAGTGTGTTTGGTTGCCTCCTGCATGTGCCCCGACCAGGACCCAGGCCAGGGAAGAGCCTGCAACCAAGGTACGGTACGTGCCCTTGACCGGAATCAAACCCAGGATCCTTTGGTGCCCAGGCTGATGCTCTATCCACTGAGCCAAACCAGCTAGGGCATAAGATATATTTTAGAAATGGCTTGCAGAAAAAAGTTCTTGACAGATTGTTTTCTTTTATGAAACAGAAATAATTTCAGCTATTTTGAGCTTCCTAATTGCCTAGACCAGCGGTTCTCAACCTGTGGGTTGTGACCCCTTTGGGGGTCGAACAACCTTTTCACAGGGGTCGCCTAAGACCATCGGAAAACACATATATAATTACATATTGTTTTGTGATTAATCACTATGCTTTCATTATGTTCAATTTGTAACAATGAAAATACATCCTGCATATGAGCTATTTACATTACGATTCATAACAGTAGCAAAATTACAGTTATGAAGTAGCAACAAAAATAATTTTCTGGTTGGGGGTCACCACAACATGAGGAACTATATTAAAGGGTCGCGGCATCAGGAAGGTTGAGAACCACTGGCCTAGACTATGATGAAAAAATGATGAAAAGGCAGACTGGAAAACATTGTTTTATTTTATCCTTTATAATAAAGCAGTGGCTCTCATAGTGTAATCTCTGGATGGCATCACTCGATTATCAGCATTACCTGCAACTTGTTAGACACGCAAATTCTGAAATTCTGGGGCCTCACCTCAGACCTACTGAATCAGAAACCCTGGGGATGGGGCCCAGCAATCTGTGTTTTAAGAGGCCTGGCTGGTGATTCTGATGCCTGCCTATATTTGAGAACCACTGTTAGAGTTAAAGAGGTACAGTATTCAAACTTGTACCTTGAAAATCATTACCACCAAAAAAATGAAACGTTTTGCCTTCCTGCACATTTGAGAGCCTCCTGGCTTGGTCTTACAATTAAGAAATTTTCATGATATTCTTGACCTAGGAGTTGATACAGTTGATACCTAGAACTGAAACAATACAAAAAGTCCTGCTAGATGGGGGAAAAATGCACCAAGTTCCCTTCTTGCTACTGTTAACAACCTGTTCTAAAAGTCAAGGGTGGACTGTAAAGTTTAGAATATGCGCTTTCGCCGTGTATTCTGCAGTTCCCTTGAGAGAAAGAAGAGTCTTCTGTCACAAAAAAAGACCATAAAACAAGAGCTCTGCACATATGTAATACCCTTTGTAATAAAAAATTTAAAAAAAAAGAGCTCTGCCAACATCAACAAGTACATGGATTTTCTCCACCTGAAGATGACAGCTAACATAAAAGTGGAAGACTGCACTTGGTTCCTAGCTCCCAAAATTCTTTATTACCTCTTCTTTTTCCTATATCTAAACTAGATATAATGCAAACATTACTTTTCTGTTATGGTACATTTTTTGGTGTGTGTGTTTTTTTTTCTTTTGTTTTTTGTTAATCCTCATCTGAGGATATTTTTCCATTTTTAAAAAGAGTGGAAGGAGCCGAAACCGGTTTGGCTCAGTGGATAGAGCATCGGCCTGTGGACTGAAAGGTCCCAGGTTCAATTCCTGTCAAGGGCATGTACCTTGGTTGCGGGCACATCCCCAGTGGGGAGTGTGCAGGAGGCAGCTGGTCGATGTTGCTCTCTCATCAATGTTTCTAACTCTCTATCTCTCTCCTTTCCTCTCTGTAAAAACTCAATAAAATAAAAAAAAGAGTGGAAGGAAGGGAGACAGAAACATCGATGTGAGAGACACATCGATGTTTTTTATCGATTGGTTGCCTCCTGCATGCGGAGGGGCCATGGATGGAGCCTGCAACCAAGGTACATGCCCTTGACTAGAATTGAACCCAGGACCCTTCAGCCTGCCTATGCTCTAACCAGTTGTTGTAACCAGCTAGGGTTGTTATGCTATTTGATAATGTTATGGCAACTTGTGTTGACTGAACTGACTTATGTCACATGGTGACTATAGTATATATACTATACACAGGTGATGTGCTTTGGCAAGTGCACATACACATATAAAATGCTCTGAAAGCTTGAGCTTTTAACACTGACTACCATTGGCCTGGCTTGTGTTTTTAATGCCCTCCTTATATATAAGACTGCTGTTTTTGGAATGAAATCCTGAGGCATAATAATGTGGTGGTCTGTGTGTGTCAGTTACTTGCTTTCATTCCTGGTCCATCCTTCCCAAACATAGCAGCTGTATCTCAGTGGAAAGAGTATCAGAAGACTGTGGGACCTTGGAAAAGTCACTTAACTTCTTGGCCTCCATTGATTCAGCTGTAAAAAATGAGACACCACCTAATTCCCAAAGCTGTTGTATTAAGTGAGATACATAAATTTTAAAATATTTTGTACATTATAAACCTATATTTATCCATTTATTGAGAAGCCATTATACAGAAGGCACTCTTCTAGGCACTGAGAATAAAGGTGTGAACAAGAAACCATAAACCCTTTCCCCAAAGGAGATTACATTCTAGTGGGAAGGTAAGATTTATTAACACAAAGGATAGATATTATCCTACCATATAAGATATTTTTTAGGATTCAGATTTCCCATGGCCTTCTGTAATATTAAGATCTATGATAAAGGTACCTTTTTAACTGCAAAAACATTATTAAATGAAGGTCAATTAGATTTTTTTGACTTGATTAATAACTGAGGCTTCCCCAGTTGTAACCAGCTCCTCCAGTGAAATAATCATTATCTCTGGAGGCAGAAATTACACTAACCTAGAGAAGATAAAAAAAACACATTAATTTTTGTGATGAGTTCAAAGTATCACACTGAATACCATGTTCAACAATTAAGGGTAAGGGGGACAACCCTATTTTTCTGTATTTGTTAGTCATTTCTGGACCTGAATTGACTGAATTTTATCTGATAATTTTCCAGGATATCTCATCCTTCCTAATAAAAAATTCACTGTGAGGCAAGAGTCAAAAAAGCCTCTCAATCGATCAAAGGAATGATTAGTCTAATATAAGACCGAGTTGGGGGTTCTGAAATATAGAGGTCCAAGTAGTCCTATTTAAAAAAAATGCGTTGGAACCATACTGCAGTCTCCAGTCTCCATCAAATGCAAAGAGCTTTCAAAGAGGCCTGTTCAGAATGCGCACTAGGTTTTAGAAAAGGGGGGAGGGGCAAACACACACACATAAAAGCACACCTAAAATCTCACCCAATGCTAAATGTTAATCCTTCTGATCATAATTAAGGTGAAAGGGGGGCAATCCATTTTTAGAGTAGATATATCCATTTCTTTGTTTGCTTCCATACATATGCGCAAATCTACAAGCAAGGCGGACCCTGCGGCTGAGACACCTCATACAAACCGCCTTTCCAGGAGGAGACAGTAAAACCCAGCTGGGGGGATGTTGTTTTATTTAATGGGGATGGAAAGACAGTGGTCAGGAGACTAGGATTAGAACCGCAGCGCCCCCACCCCCGCGGACCCTAGAAACCGCGACTGTAGGATGTTCTCTGCGGATACCGCATCCTTGGAAGGTCCTACGCAGGTCTCAGGTTCTGCTATTTGTCATTTCCCACGCCCTCCAGAACCATCACCACAATGTTCACCTCTCTAATGGTGATGATTCCTCTTCCAAGCACACCTCTATCTCCATTCCTGGTCTTGGAGGGGTTTCTCCCGCGACCCCCTGCACCCTTCTAGCCATTATGTCATCATCCCCTGCCACCTCACTCGGCAAACCCCCTCCCCAGGACAACAGTGTCCTCCAGCATTTCCAAATCTCCAGCCTCTAAACCCTCTGTATCCTGCCCCAGTCCCTGTCCCACTCCCCATCACCGTTCTCCTATCCCTGTTCCTTAACCGGATCCGCGCACCTTCCTCACCTGCAACCCAGGAAAACGTGGTTGGTCCAGGCGGCGGAGAGCGCTAGGAGCTGGTCGAGGGCAGCCCCGGGATAGCTGTGCAGGTGCCGACAGATGAAGCTGCGTCGCAGAGCCCACTGCCAGTCACTTTCGTGGCTATAGCGCCACTGCTCCAGCACTGGATCAGGCGGGGGCGGCGGCGGCGGGAGGGGGAGCAGCGGCGGCGGCGACAGGAAGTCGCCCCCCAACAGCAGACGTCCGCCAGCCATCTTCTCCGCCCCCAAGCAGGGCCACCAGGGATGAAGCCAACTACGGACCTGGAGCGAGTTGGATCGGGGGCCGGTGGGAGGGGCCGGGTGAGGAGGGGCGCGCCGTGGCGCGAAGACCAACTCTCAGGGGACTAGGGTGTGTGCTTGGAGGGCGAATGCTAAAGAGGAAAAGGTGCTCAGGTCCCGATGCCAGGGCGCGCGCCGGCTGCACTCCAACTCGTGGAGGAGCAGGAGGGCGCCCACTGCAGTCCACGCGCGTCGGGGACGCCGAGCCAGGCCCCGCGCTCCGCACTTCCAGCCACCCGCAGACCCACGCTCAGCGCGGGAAGGAGGGGGAAAGCCACCAGCACGCTCTGCTCCCCCTCCTCTGAGTTCCTGCCTACCTACCCGCGTGCAGCCCAGCGGTAGCGAGCCAGTGCGCATGCGCTGCGTGTGATCCCTAACTTCCAAATCCCGTGACCAAATATCGCGCGATGTACATTTCCCCCGCCTTTGACGCACTACGGTGACTAGCGGAGGGAGGGGACTACGGGAAGTAAATTTTGGAAGATTCTCAGAGGTTCTGGAACATGTTTCCATTGAATCTCTGGAAGACGACCTCAGGTGATTGTTGGCTGCAATGACTCCTCTGACGCTTTCCCCTGAGTTTCTGAGCAGCGCGACAATGCGGTGTTCTTTGGGAGGGACTTAGGTTTGTAATGGATTTTACACTTTTCTTTTAATGTCAGCTCTCCGAGGTTCCTTTTCTTTAGAGGATAGCTTGAAAAGCTATGTGCGTTATGTGTCGTTAGCTTTGCATTTTATTGTGAGAACATAGGCGAGATTAAATACTTGCAAAGAAAATAATCCACAATGCCACTTCTCGTACATATTCCATTCCAATTGCTGACAAATAGAGACACCGTGCTTACACAATTCTTATCATGATTGCAAGTAATTTTGCATTTTCTGTACCAATTTAAAATGTGAAAAATATTACAAAATACAAAAGGGCCCCCAAAAGAGCCTTAAAAGCTGCACAGCAACAAATGGCAAAACCACTGTGTAGCTGAACACTTTGCTCTAGCAGTGCTCCGGTCAGTTCCCTCAGTCCCTGTCTGCCAACCTGTGTTATTTAAGTAGTTCATCAATGAGTATCTGTCAACAGGAATTTACACAGCACTTGTGTGCTCAATGCAGGGTGGGGCAAAGTAGGCTTACAGTTGTTTGTATGGAAAATAATACAATTAATAATAAGAAATAATAAACTGTGTTTCCAGTACAGCAAGCCTACTTTTGCCCCACACCGGCAGTAATAAAAGGAAAAAGAAACTGGGTTTTCTCTGTCATCCTAGAACTGATTACAGTCTTGGTGGGGAGAAATAGTCCTCTATGAAACTCAATGTCCCACTGGCAGCAGGTCCATTGGATGAGGTGGCTTTGACCCATTGCCCTGTTTCACATTTTAACAACACATTTTTCATTATATGACACATCTTATGTGTAGGGTGTATTGGATTGAGAAGAGAACATCACTTTCACACCGTTTCATAATTATTTATTTCCATGTCTGTCTTGCCTATTTCCTAGTGAGTGTTTTGTCTTTGACTCTATAGCAGGCATTCATGTTGATTGAAGTAAAGGCATTCTTTGAACCACAAGATCAAAACACGATATGAAATAGGAAGCTTAGAGATCATAAATTAAAGTCATTGTAGTATGAGTGAAAAAATTAAGGCTGGAGAGGTGAATGACTAGTTGAAGACTGTAGAGACTGTAGCAAAGCTGAGATCATAATCTGGGTCACTTGACTCCTCATCCAGTGCTTTTCCAGCCATTTGCCATTGCATTGCCCTGTTGTTGTTTTTTTAAAAATGTTTTTCTTCACATGTATCATCTTTTGAACTCTTTAAGAAAGTTTGACTTCCCCCTGCCCAGTGTCAGCTCCATGAGAACAAGGAACTCACCTGCCTTGCTTTTTGCACCTATGCCTGGCTACTGTGGGCACTCCATAGATATTTCTTGAGTTGAATGAATGAATGAGTAAAGGCTATTTCCATTGTCCCAATCTTGTGAAATTCATTTTCTTGGAGTCTATATTTTAAGCTGATTTGTTATTTTACAGTTGGATTAATTTCAGCCTAAGTTGCCAACCTTCATCAGCAACAGCATTGTCATCAATACATATTGTTCCTAGAAAAAGATTTAAGAAAACAAAAGCTACATCCTCTTAGCTTTGATGAAAACATGTTCATCAGATAGGAACATATAATTGCAATCTGACTTTTGAACTTGGATTACAAAATGAAAGGCAATGAAACTGATGTTAGAGGCAGGCCATTTACTTTACAATAGCCATAACTGGACTCCATTTGAAATTCCCACTGTGGAATACAGTTTCATCTCTCGAAAGCGAAACAAAAATTTGCATGGTTATCCATGACCTTATTTCGCTAGTAATCCTTCTGATCAAAAAACCCTCCAGCCAACCTATATCAGCCAATTCCCTTTTCACAAGCCATATATTTGTCTGTTATCAGGAATTGAAACCCTAAGCTGAAGTAGATTATCTAAAAAATTGTTGAAGATAGGTATAGCAAGGAATGATGATAAACGCATCCATTGCAATCCTAAAACAATCCAGAAATTGGTAGTCATCCATCGTAGACACACACACACACACACACACACACACACACACACACACACACAGATACCACACTGACAGCTCTGAGCTTCTCTCGATGCCCTTTCCTATGGGGGATTCAGTGAGTGATCACAGGAGGAAAACTTGGAGACTGGTTAAGCACCCCCCATAAACTATCCCAGAAATCAGACCACCAAAAGTTCTTGACCAGAATAGTAGTCTGCACTGCAATATTCTCTTTGAGGTATGTTTACTAACAGATTAAAAGCAATAGCTAGGAGCTCCCAGTGGTCACATCTTGGTAATTTGAGTACAAAAATTATTAAGGACAGTAAGGAACCATTGAAACAATAGGAAACCATAAGTCAACAATGACACTAAGTTGACAAATAACAAAGGGAAAGGGAGGGGCCTTGCTTACAATAGAGTATCATAAATTTTTATAGTTGTTGAGCCCTGAGTATGGACTTTCTAAAGCTCAAGCCAAATAAGCTAAGAGGTAGTGGAGGACTTGGAGGGATACTGATGGAAGATAGTCTAGGTGGCAAAACCTCTGTGACGTACTATTGTTCAAATGCACAACTCTTTGAAGGGGTACTCACATTTTAAAAGAATGGCCTTGCAAGAAAGCTGTCCTTTCAGTAAGAGATGAATCTCTTGAAGTGGGGCCACTTCAGACAGGAGAGAACACTGCTTAACCTCAGTGCTTAAACAGGAGCCCTGGTTGCTTGGTGTTTTTGAGGGTATTAGAGGCACAGTCCTCTATCTAGAAGTAGTTGGGGTTCTCACCTGCTCATTACCCCAGGAGCAGGAGCTCATCGACACAGCAAGCCCCTGCCTCCCACCTATGCTCTAGCAAAACTGTGTGCAAATTTTAGTTAATTACTCCCCACTCAACTTGCATTAAAACTTCAGCCATTTGTCTTCATTTCTGATTTATTTTGACCAGCCAGTCGCTTCTAACACCTTTAGTCTGATGATGCATCAACAAGCATTAAAATGCGTTACAGGTGGGGTAAGCATACTATGGTCTGCGGACCAAATCTGGTCCCACCGCCTGTATTTGTATGACCAGCATGCTAAGAATGCTTTTTACATTTTTTAATGGTTGAAAAGAATAAAAATAATAATTTATGACATGTGAAAATGAAATTCAGATGTGAATGTCAAATTTCAGTGTCTATAAATGAAGTTTTATTGGCACACAGCCACAGTCATCCTTTTACATACATATTATCTATGACTGCTTTTGTGCCACAGTAACAGTTGAATAGTTGCAGAGACCATCTGGCCTGCAAAGCCTAAAACATTTATCAGCTGGCCTTTTACAGAAAAAGTTTGCTGACCCGTGGCCTAGAGTGATTATTCTCAACATGGGCTATTTTGTCCTCCAGGAGACACTTAGCACTGATAGGAGACATTTTTGGTTGTCACAATTGGGAGTGGGGTAGGGTGCTACTGACATCTAGTGGGTAGGGATGCTGTTAAACATGCTACAATGAACAGGTCCCTACAGCAAAGAATCATCTGTCCTCAAATGTCAGTAGTGCTGAGGTTTAGAAAGGGTGCATTAGAGGGACCCAAGATACTTCTAGCAAAGGGGAAACTCCATCCTTTAATAAAGGGTACCGTTTATGGAACACCTGGGTCTTTAATTTACATGAGTTCATGTAGCCTTCATGATCATCCTGCAGTGGAGTTGCTGATAGTCTCCTTTTGCAGGGAAGTTTTTAACACAATTTTCCCATAGCGCACACGCTAGCAAGGCTGTCTGGCTGCAGAGCCTGTATTTTTCCACACTTCAATGCCGGCAGCTACTCAGTGACGTCAGAGGCTAGTGTTGTCTCACTCGGCTGCCCTCTAGTGTGCAAACTATGCAAACGCAGGCCAGTGTCGCTTCCTTCAGGCCTGGGCACCAAGAGGATATGGACCACTCTCCTGACCCCAGTATCTGGCCATCCAGAATACGGAGCCAGGGAAAGGAAACCCCACACTTGCAAGCATTTATGAAAACTGACCACGCTCCCTCTTGCCCACTTTAATGCTAGGAGTGGGGATTGAGGACAGGAGCTTTCCCTCCCTGGTGGATCCAAGACACAAAATACTGCTTGCTATCTTTTGAGTCATAAAGAACAGTCATATGCATGAATTTTGGGGATGCTCACATCACAGGATTAAATAAGAGAATCTTGTTCTGTAGGATCTGGCACTCCACTTCTTCCCTCTGTTATCCTAGATGATAAGGAGCTCAACGGGTCAGATAAATATATGCTAATAAAGGAAAAAGTAGAGGACTTCCTCTCTACCCCACCCCACCCCACTGTGGGAATTTCAAGCTCAAATAGAGGAAGGAGGGGGCACAGCAGCCCACCTAGGAAGGTTGCATATGGGCTTACGGTGCCTCCCTGAGCCCTTCAGATCATCCACTTGGAAGGCAGCCACCCACTCCTAAGGCAAACCATGATGGGTCGAATCATCTAATGGTTTAATATCAGATCACACAGCCATTGAGCATTTCTTTGAATTTTATTGAAAATTGGCATGGACATTAGAAAGGTATCAAGCTAAACAGTGCTGGTTTTGGGATGTTTCTCCTGGCGAATGAAAGCCCCAGAGGGGCAGTGAATGGTCACACCGTTGAGCAAAAAGAACAAAGGAAAAGAAAGGAAAAACAAACCCAGATTCTGGAAAACATGCAAAGAGGCTCTCTCAAGAGACACCGGACAGTGGGATGGTGATGGTTGTAGGGATATATGGGAAGGAGCACACTTACATGGTATTT